TGTTACCTTTTCCGTTTTTCCGTTTCGTTGCCGGTTCCGACGCACGTGTTGTTGGCCGGTTCGGTCGCCGTTGTTATGCCAATGCTGGAGCCGTTTTGTTCCAGCTTCCGGTCGCCGTTTTTTTGCCGCTTCCGTTTTCGAGAGATGCTCTTTCGGCAGCGGTGAAAGAACGGCCCTGCCGTTTCCAGGGCCCACTGAGGGCGGGGCCATAGGGTCGGCCCAAGAAGTGTCAACGATGCTGCCGCACACCCTCCCGTCTCCAGGCCGGGCGTCCGCAATGCAGGCAAAAGCATCCCCTCTTTTGTTCCACTGCGCGCAGCGCCAACACCTCGAAAGACAGGCGCCCAGCGGGCCCACGATGCAAGCGGGAGCTCCTCTTGGACAAAAAGAGCCGCGCGCCCTCCAAGCCATCAGGAATGCGACAAAAGGTCGGGTGTGGAAATTCAGTGAGATGTCTAGCGGCACACCCGTTTCGAAAAAGAGTATGTCCTTTCCGTGCGCATGTGTCGCATCAGATGCATAAGCATCTACACAGATATCTCTCTACGTGTGCTACGTGTATATACACACATGAATGTGCGCTAGCCAGCGTGGACCCCAACCAACGCTACATATCTATATATATATATATATATATATATATATCACGTGTATACATAGAAATACACATAAATGTGTGTTTGTGTGTTAGCCAGCGCGGGCCCCAACCAAGCTATGTGGCGAATGCTATGCCGAATGAGCTGTGAGGTGTGAGCTGATGAGGCGCACGCGATGCGGCCCGAGCTACGTGGTGCACGCTGTGTCGTGCAAGCTCGGTGCTGCGAACTGGGAGTGGAAGCCTACGGGGCGCGATCCCTGTGATGCAGAGCAGGCGGTGCACACGATGTGTGCCGTGCAAAAACTGCGTGGTGCAGCCCGCGTGGTGCGCGCCGTGGCTACGCCCCGAGAGGTCCGAGCGCACGGGGCGCCCGCGGGGCGCCCACGGGGACGGCGCGGGCGGCCACGCGGCGCCAACCTCGTCATGCGCCCCCCCAGCGCACGGGGCGCCCACGCGGCGGCACGGGCGGCCACGCGGCGTAACCTCGGCACGACCCCACAAGCGCGGGGCGCCCACGAGGCGCTCACGAGGCGGCGCGGGCCGCACCGTGGCGAACACACGGAATACCAGTCCAACTACTGGGCAAAACATGTTCGCCGGCGGGGGCACCAAACCGTGTGCTTCAAGCAATGTGTGGTGTGCCACCTTCGCTGGGCAATCTAACCTGTGCCATATATGGACTGCCATCTACGTAGGGCAGTCTATGTGGTGCCATATGTGTTGTGCACTCTACGTGGTGCAATATACGATGTGCAACCCACGTGGTGAAATGCATGCGGTTCTCAACGTACGCTGGGCAAACAAAATGGTGCAACATATACGGTGCAATCTGCGTGGTGCCATACAGGCTGTGCTCAATATGTGGTGCAATATGTAATGTGCAATCGAGTTGGTGCAATCCATGTGGTGCAATCTACGTGGTGCGATCTATGTGGTGCCAACTACGTGGTGCAATGTAGGATGTGCACTTCCCGTGGTGCAACCCACGACGATCCATCTATGATGTGCAAGCTGCATGACTCTATCTAAGTGGTGCAAACTATGTGGTGTAATATATATATATATATGTATTGTGCACTCTGCGTGGTGCATTGGATGTTGTGTAATATATGTGGTGCCATATAAAGAGTGCACTCGATGTAGTGCATTCCATATTGTGTGATATGTGTGGTGCAGAGCACGCGGTGAAATCAAAGGTGGTGCAATCAACGCGGTGCAATTAACCAGTGCCCACTCGTGAGTTACCAACCCCACTGCTCCAGCAGTCATCCCACCCACCCGTCAGCAGCTTGGTTTGCAAAGCCCATGAGGGAGAAAGTGTGGTGTCTGCGTGGCGCTTGCTGGCGCATCGCTGCGGCCGCACTAGCGCGCGCAGGCTCGCTCGCAGAGCGATCAGTTAGTCTGGCGCGACCGACGCGGCCGCGGTGGCGCTGACCGTTGGGGATTTCCCAGCGGGCACTTCAATGCGCGTCGGTGGCGCGGGCGGGCGCGGAATCATGGCGACCCCGGCAACGGCAGACACGATGATGCCTGCAGTGATGCGAGAGGCGGCGATGACGGTGACGACGGCAAGGCAAATGACGGCGCCGATGCTGATCACGCCGATGACGATGATGGTGTCCACGCGTCGATAGTTAAGGTTTTGACGAGTTTCGACATGCGCGCGGCCGACGGGCGCGACTGGCCCGCATGGCACCCTTTGACAGGGATCGTGCCTCCCTCCCAGCACGCGCGCAAGGGCGATCGAATGATTTCGGCACGCGCGCGCGAGAGGCCCGTCTGGTCGCATGTAATGAAAATGTTGCAAACAACCGGTGACGGGTGCCTAAGAATTCGCAAGAGCGCGCACGCAGACCCTTTTTTCCAACTCGGTTTTACAAAACCACCTTGTTTCTGTTTATATGTGTGCGGGACACTCGGGTTTGAAATCCTTACGGCATCCCTTGTGTCTGAAGGATTTCGGCATGCGTGCGCGGCGACGCGCGCGTCACTTCGTCCCCTAGCCTCCTGGGTTATCCTGCTCGAGCCTCACATCCTGATTGATCCCCCTCACCTCTCCTCCTCCTCCTCCTCCTCCTCCTCCTCATCATCATCATCATCATCAGCATCATCATCATCATCATCATCATCATCATCATCATCATCATCATCATCATCATCATCATCATCATCATCATGATCATGGTCATGATCATCATCGTTCATCGTATTCCTCATCCTCCTCCTACTCCTCGTACTCGTCGTCGTCGTACTCGTCGTCGTCGTCGCCGTCACCGTCGCCGCCGCAATCGTCGACCGTCTTCGTCGTCGTCGTCCTCCTCCTCGTCTCCACCTGACCTCTTCTGTTCCTCGTACGTATGGCGCTTGAGGGGCTCTCCCAAAGTGAAGGCGGAGGACGGCGGACGGATAGGGGGATGAATGACGAGAGAGGAACGAAGGAGGGAAGAGGAACGGGAAACGAAGACTGCGCTATGAAGGGGGGAATCATGTGAGCAGGGAGGGGTGGATACGCAGGAAGAGTTGGGGGGAATATGAGGAGGAGGAGGAGGAGGAGGAGGAGGAGGAGGAGGAGGAGAGATGAGAAAACACCATTGCGATGCCTGTTGGCTTGATCGGGGATGCATGCTCCTTCTGCCGAAGTGACCTGAAGCGGGCAGCAAACCAACGTCAACCACACAATGACTGCATGGCCTGTTGGGCGACACCGTGAACGTTGTGTAGAAGGAGATTTCAGGAGGTGTTGGACGGGTGTTTCTAGAAAGCTGCTCCACGAAACGTTTGAAGCGTGCCGAAGCCTAAACGTTGCGCGGACGTGGGGTTGATTCTGGGGCATTCGCTGTAAGCCTCTTGGGAGCTTCTTGGGGAAAGGCTTGGCCCCTCGTGGGGGTCGCCTGGGCCCCCTCTTTGGAGCTCTCTCCACCAGAGAGGCTCGGTTGGACCGTCTCGGGGCTGCCTGGGCGGGTCCTGGGGCCCACCTTAGAGCCACAGTTGGTCCGCCCTGAGGCCACCTGGGCCTCGAGGCACTCTTGGGCCAGACTTGGGGCACACAGCCATCGCACGCTACCACGGGGCGCGCTGCATGGGGAGCGAAGGGACTCGTTCTGGCCACGGCGAGCCCCGTCCACGAGTCAGGTCGGGCATGTCCTCCTACAGGCGGACCCTGGAAGGGAAGTCTTTAACATCATCAGAGGACCATTGAGCATACCCCAAACACCACGAACAATCGTCCCTGGACTATGTTTCTACCACGGAGTGGGCATTTGATAAGGAACCCTTAGATGAGGAATCCAGGGTCTGGAAGCCAGTGGAACTCCAATCGTGGATCGGCCGCGGATATCACCGCCGAAAAGAGCGATGGCGGAAACAGGCTCTGGACACCGGGGCTCTCCCCTGAGACCGCCTTCTCACCCCGAGTCATCTCGGGGTCGGCCAAGAGGGGGGCGTCCAAGAGGGGGGGGGGGGGGGGGGCAAATCATGACCAGCGGCATGTGCGCGGCCCAGGGGGGGGGCTGGGGACGTAATGAAATAAGAAGTGGCGCCATGAAGTCTGGGGAAATATCATGGCCCACGCCATGATATCCACCCCCCCTATTCATCACCCTCCTCTTTGCCGACCCCGACATGGCCATCTGAAGCCGAAGAGCCTGTGCAGCAGCACATGATGAAAGGTCAAGGTCATGCTACTAACCAGTCCTTGCTGTGGGCCTCCGAGGGCCTCTCTGGAGGCTTCGCGGGGCACCCCTGGGGATCTTCTTGGGAATCGTTCGGGGCCCCTTGTGACCGCCTGGGCGGCTCTCGGTGCTGTCCTGGGACCTCCGAATGCGTTGAGCTCGTGGGGACCTCCAAGATCTCTCCGCCGCTCCTGGCAGGCGTCTGGAGGGGGGGGGGGAGAGAGGGTGGCAACACAAACGCTGTGCACAAAAAACACAACTTCCTGGGGTTGGTGACCCTCTTCCCACTTATCCACACGCCACTGCCTGATGCACCGATCCTCCCGCAAATTGCGAGACTTGTCTGAGTGCACAATCGCGCAATCGGTCCGACCAGGGCACCGTGCGATATTCCCCGTAGATGCCTTCACAGACACCATGGCTTAACACAGCGAATGTTTGAACAGAGAGCTACGGAAACAACTGCTGCGAGGTCTTCGGGAAAACGCTTAAGAGCCATTCAGTCCGACTGAAAAACCATCAAACCAGACTGGGCCGGACTAGGCCCGGGACTAAGCCGGACCAAGCGGAACGAAGCCAACAGTGAGCCCGATTAGCCGGGATGAGGCCAGTTTTCGATCAGGGATCTACCAGCGCCGAGTCTGAATCTAACCTCCCAGGAGCTGCATCCTAACAACACCTCGATCAGGGTCCCACGGAGATCATTTTCTTGGGGGGCTGCTGAGAGGCGATCAGTCGGCTTGGCAAAGGCGCTTCAGCTCAGCGGAAAGGCCAAGCGTGGTCGCTCGGCCCTCTTTGAGATCGTCCACCGAAGGCATCTTTCCCAGCCGCATCAACTCTCCGGCTGCGACGGCAGTCGGATCCCGTCCCATGGTAGCCACGGCCTTCACAACACCCTTGTGACAGTAGTAGGCCACGAAATTCAGCTCCTCGTGGTTGCCATCCACCAGCATCTCGTCGAACTGCGTGCAGTGGCCGACGTCCGCCATCGCGCCAGCACGATAGTGGAGTGTTGTAAAGAAGGTCGGTTGCATGATAGGGCTTTCGTAATCATCCAGGGCCGTCTCGCCGATCGCCCCCCTTCGAAGCGACAATCCTTGAGCACGCTCTGACCTCGGTCAATGCAAACCCGGGTCAGTCAGGCCTGGCAGGATCCTGCACGCAAGCCCCGGTCAGTGCACCCCTGGCTCTGCAAGATCCTGCAAAATCCAGCGCTCGGGCTGACCCCCGTGTGCATTGACCCCCGTCTCAATCGGGGAGGCGCAAACATGGATTAGCGATAATCCATGGATCGGTGGAGGTGCCCTTCCCAAAAGGGCGGCCGGTGCCGCCTCGCTCGGCGGCGGAAATCCGCGATGTCCTATGAGAACGGGACCCGCCGATAATCCACGCCCCCTTGATCCCATGCTGGCGATCGCCTGACTCAAGGCTCCCGAAGACCTCCGTGCCCCTCCCCCCCCCCGATGCCCTTCTGCCTGCCCCTGCACGGCCCCTACGACGGCCCGAGCCCGCCCCACGACGGCTGCACGGCGCCCACGGCAGCAACCTGAGCCGGCCGAGCCACCTCCCAAGGGGCTTCAAGATGGCCCCCAGAGACACCCAGGGGGGCTCCAGCGAAGGTCGAAGTTGCCAACAAAAAAAACAATGAGATGCCATGGTGGAGTGGACTGCGTTCCGCTTCCGAAGCTTTCCGGCTTCAGATCGCTCCAGGCAGCATCTCCGACGGCCGAAGGCTGCCCAAAGAGGGCCCCGCGACGGCCCCAGGACGACGCAAGGCCGTTCCAAGAGCGCTCCAAGACAGCACTGAGATCCGCCCTGGCGTCCCTCAGATGGCTCACATGAGCTCAACCGGGAGAGCTCCTCCGCAACCATTGCGCCCAAGACGGCCCCGAGATGTCCGACGGGCCCCAAATAGGATCTCTGGAGGCCCCCAAGAGGCTTCAAAGAAGCCCTCGAGAAGCACCCACGATGCCGGCGAGAGCGGAGAAGAGAGAGCTGAGAGGAGGGAGGACAAGCTAGGTGCGCTCGCGTCATCCTACCCCAATCACCCATCCCTTCCGATTGGACTGTGTGTTTTCGATGTACGCCGACAGGTATCATAGCGGACTTCGAACACCCAAGGGGACCCCATTGTGTGATCCGAGATCACACAAGGGGGGCTGCGTACATCAAGAGGAGGAGGAGGAGGAGGAGGAGGAGGAGATGGCGGTTGAGCAGCAGGATGAGCAGGAGGAAAGAGGAGGATCGGGAAGGAGGAGGACGAGAAGGAACAGTATTAGCAGGAGCTGCAGTGGAAGGAGCGGGAGGAGCAGGAGGACCAGGAGAAGGCGGAGGAAGGGAACCGAGGGCGACAACGATGAAAGAGGACTCGGATCCAGAAAAGTGGCCCGCGCTGGGGCGAGAGCGCCTTTCTGAACGACGGGAGCAAAGCGCCGATTCGAACATCAGGCCCACTCTGCAAGCGGAAACATTATTCTGAAGTTGTAAAACACATAAGCCTCTGTCCAGTCCTGTGTATAAAACTATACACGGAGAGGGCCAGATATCTTCTGGACACGTTCAAGGACGACAGGTAGTTCTGTTTATGTGAAATAATGGAAAAAGAAGGGGAGGAGGACGAAGAAGGATGGAGAACACGGCTGATGACAAGAATGTGGTGTTTGAAACCGCGCCAGTTCAGGGAAGGCGTTGAACTGGAACAACTCTTGAACTCACTCTCTCTCTCTCTCTCCCTCTCTCGCTCTCTCTCTGTCTCTCTCTCTCTCTCTGCTGCGCTTCCGCGCTGGCACGTTGGAGGAGTTTACCGCAGGCAGCTGGATATCGAAGGTTCTTGCCGAAGAGGGAGGTCCAGAAGAACGGGGTCTGATCGAACCTCTCCCCGATGCCCAGCATGGACCTCGCTGCGGCGCGCCCCTGGCTCATGGCGACGTCCCAGTGCTCGATGCGGACGTGCCGGCCTATCGAGGGAGACATGTCTAGGGGAACGAAGAATGACATAAACATGAAAGCTCGGAGGTCCGTGCGGAGTTCTCGGAGCGGCGCTGGTCCCCCCTCCCTGGCGCGCGGAGCGCGCCAGGGGCGGCGCCGGAAGCGCCGCCAGGGGCGTCCAGCGCGGATCCGAGAAATCCGTGCGGGCCTCCGAAACTGTATGTTTTGGTCATTCTTCGCTCTCCATAATGTAGCTCGCCACATCACCGGCAGCAAAGAGCCCCTCTGCGCTGGTGCTGAGAAACTCGTCGGTGAGCAGGGACCCGTCGGGCGCCTTCTCCGCGCCCACGACGAAGCCGGCGTTCGGCACCACGCCCACGCCCGCCACCACGGCGTCGCAGGGGATCGCCTGGCCGCTCTTCAGCACCGCCCGCATGCTGCTCCCGTCCTGCTGGATCTCGGCGCAGCGGGCCTCACCGATGAACTTGACCCCCTTGGACTGGAAGAATTTCTGGAACACCTCCCCCAGTCGTCGGCCAAGCACCCGCTCGAAGGGGACGCTCTCCATGCCGAGCACGGTCACCTTGCAGCCTCGGCGCGTGAGCGTTGCCGCCAGCTCCATGCCGATGAAGGACGAGCCGACGACCAACACGCGCTTGCCGGCCGTGCACGCGACCGCGAGGCCAGGACAGCACGAACGACACACATGGAACTCTGCGAGGATTTCGAGAATCGGCGCTGGACCCCCCCCCCTGGCGGCGACTCCAGCGCCACCCCGAGGCGCCCCAGGGGAGGGGAGTCCAGCGCCGACCCGAGAGAATCAGCGCCGACCTCCGAGCGCGTAAGTCTGCATATGCCAGAGGAACGAGAGACCATATAAGCATCATTTCTCGGAGGTCCGCGCGAATTTCTTGGATGGGCGCTGGATCCCCCCCTGGCGCGCGGAGCGCGCCGGGGGCGCCGCCAGGGGCGCCGCCAGGACCCAGCGCTGACCCAAGAAATCCGCGCGGAGCTTCGAAGGCTCATGTTCCTGCCTCTTGTCCGTCTCGGATATGCAGCTTTCCTGCTGTTCTGGATGCTCTGTGCGTCCTCTTGGCGGCGCGCACAGCGGGGTAGGGGGAGGGGGGAAGGATTCGAGGCTGCTTCTTAGAAGGCGTATCTATCATAGTGAGGGGGCCGAACGGTCAGTCACTGTCCCTGGGCGCGTGGCTGAAGTGAGGTTCTGTTTGTTGTTGATTGTCGTCGTCTCCCCCGCGACCCCACCCGCGACCCACCCGCGACCCGGGCCGCGACCCACCTGCGACCCACCCGCGACCCACCCGCGACCCACCCGCGACCCACCCCGCAACCCACCCACACTCCTTTAAACAAACAATCGGCGCCTGCGGCGAGCTCGTTGTAGAACTTGTAAAATTAGGTGCCTGCGGCGGGTTTCTTCGGAGCCTCGCAGACTGCCGACGTCCCCGCCGCCCCCTCACTCTTCAGGCGTTACGTACAAAGAAGGCCCGCGACTGTAAGAAGCAGGTGTGCTTCTAAGAAGCCTCCCCCCTCCCCCATACCCCCCCCCCTCTGCGCGTGGCCAACCTCCTCTAGCATCGGGGAAGCAGGTCCTGACAGAAATGGGTCCTGGACCTTGGGGCCTTCTCTTAGGTCGGGCATGTCCTCCTACAGGCGGACTTTGGAAGAGACATGAACACTTGTCAACATATGCTCAGCAACAGTCACAAATAATATTCGCAACATCGTCCACATACAATTGTTGCTACTATTGGGGAATCTTCCTCCTGTAGAGGGACGTGACCGACTCAAGCCGTTCCCCAGGACGAGATCTTCCTCCTGCATGGTTTTCTGACAGTCCCCTGCTCGGATCGTCGCCGGGGTTGCTAAGAGGATAGGGGGATACAAGTGGATGATAAGATGGGTTCTATCTATCCAGCCTAACCCAGCTGAAAGTCGGTTGCACGTGCCCTAAAGTGGCTTAAATGGGCGCACGGATCTGGGCTAAGTGGGCGGAGCCCCCTTAGCGGAGTTACCTCATCATCCTAAGCCACATAGGGCAGGTGTAACCCACTTATGGCGTGGGTTAGGCAAGACAAAACCCACTTTCGTATCCACTTCTCCCCCCCCCGATCCACTCAGCAACCGCCGCGGCGATCCAAGTGGGGCCCGTGGAGGGCCCCGAGGGCCCGAGCGCGGCAGCATAAACCTCAGGACCCACCCACTTGGCCGGGATCTGTGCGCCAGTCTGAGCCACGTCACTTTGGGCACGTGCAACCCACTTCTAAGCTGGCCTGAGGGGGCGGAGCCGAGTTAGCGGAGTGACCTCATCATCCTGAGCCACACAGAGCACTTGCAACCCACTTAGAAGTTGGGTTAGGCCGGATAAAACCCACGGTAGTATCCACTTTTAACCCCCCCATCCCCTTAGCATCAGGTCGGGCGTGCCCTCCTACAGGCGTAGCTTGGACGAAAAAAGAAAGAATAGCCAAGCAATGTTCAACAAGAGTCAAACGTAGTCAAACATCGGCTCCCGACCACTTCTGTGACGATTCCTCCTGTAGAGGAACCTGCCCGGCTTACCCAAAGCAGTTTGGCAACCACCGCGGTGATCCGCGCAGACGCCCACAGCCCCTCCCCCAGGGGCATGTCGTCCACCGGACCCATTTTGGAGTCCCGAAACGGTGCGGTGACAGACCTTGCGGTGACCTCGAAACCCCAAGAGACCTCACCGCACGGTCCGTCACCGCACGGTCCTGGGACCCTAGAGGCCCTGGTCGCCCGAGACGTCCTCGGAGAGGGACTCGAGTCCCAAACCCGTGCGGTGACCCCGCATCCCCACCGACTCACCGCACGGTGTGGCCACCGCACCGTTGGGGGGCCCCCGACCCATGCCCGAGGGCCCCCTGGGCCGGAACACGGGCCCTGGAGGCCGACGTCCAGGAGAAGCCGCCGGATGGCACCAGTGTCAGGGCCTCGGACCTCTGCGCAGGAAGCCTGAGCTTCCAGGAGGGCGAGCAGAAGTAGCGCCAGGACCTCGACAGCTTCGAAATTCCCGCCGAGGCTCTTGAGACGGCCCAGGTAGGCCTGTATCATAGGTCTGGAGGGCTATTCTTTAGCGCCCTGGAAGGTCAGGGAACCCGCCTCCCCCTTGGCCCGTCCTCTGGGGTGCGGAGGGCCATGACGTTGGGCAGCTGGCCCCCCGGCACCGGCAGGGCGCGGGGCCTCGCGCCCGTCGCCACGAGCGCGCAGTCGTAGCGCAGCTCCTCCCCGCCGACGAGGCGCACGGCGCGGCGGGCGGCGTCGAGCTGCGCGACGCGCGCGCCAGGGCGGAACTCGACGTCGTGCGCCTCGAAGTGCGCGGCGTCGCAGAGCGCGATGCTCTCGACGTCCGAGGCCTCGGGTGGGCCCCCCCCCACCCCCCGCGGAGGGAGCGCTTCCACGACCGGGGCGGCCCGCCCGCTCGCCGCGCCCCGCTGCCCCCTCCTCGGGGGCGCGGCTCTCTCGGCTCCTCGCCCCCTGTCGGGTCGGGCGAAAAGGGGGGGGAGGATCGCAAAGGGAGGGTTTTGAGCATCAGCTCGCGCAGCTGATTCCCCTCGGCGCCGGGAGGCGCCCATGTGTCGAGGAGTGGGCCCGGCGGCGGGGCCGAAACCACCCAGACATGCGACGTCCTGATTTTTTCAGGACGGCGCCCCTGGAAATCTAGACCCTTTCCCTGGGGCCGGTTTTTCGTCCTGAGTCGTTTTCTGACGGTCCCGAGGCCCGGCGAGGGCCCCCAGGGGCCGAAAATAGCGAAAAACCTCCCGTCCTGATTTTTTTACGACGCCATCATGTCTGGGCAGCTGCATGCAGCAGAGTTCGTCACCCCCCCTTTCCCAATCCCCCCCCGTTCGTCTGGCCCGACCCTGAGGCGCCGTCGCCGCCCGGGCCACCTCGCTGCCCAGCTCCCGGCCCCTCGGCTTCTCCCTCCTCGCTCCTGGCTTCTGCGGCTCCTCGCTCCTGGCCCGTGGCGCCTCGCCCGTGGGCGAGGAGACCAGGTCCGTCTCCGCGGCCTCGCGGGCCGGGCCCCTTTGGCGTTTTCCAGCGGATGCCCCGCAAGGAACGTAACAACTCCGTGAGGCCGCGCTTCCGCGGGCTCGCGCCCCGGAGTCCAGACCGCGAGGGGGGCGGAGACCCAGACATGCGACGTCCTGATTCTTTGAGGACGGCACCCCTGGAAATCCCGACCCTTTCCCCGGGACCGGTTTTTCATCTGGAGTCGTTTTGGACGGTCCCGAGGCCCGGCGAGGGCCCCGGGGGTGCCGAAATCTGCGAAAACCTCCGCCCTGCTCTTTGTCAGTGCGTTGGACCTCTGGGGATGGAGCCACGCTCGGCGCTCGCGGGCCTTGGCGAGGTTCTTGGACAGCACGGGCCGGTCGTAGGGGTGGTGCCTCTCCTCCGAGAGCAGCACGAGGCGGCCCGTGAAGCCCTCCTGCCGCAGCGCGTCGCAGGCCGCCACGCCCGCGGCGCCGCCGCCGACGATCACGAAGAGGCGCTGGTCGTCGGGCGACCGCCGGACCGCCACCGGCTCGACGAAGTCGTCCATGAACCTCGGCAGGTCGACCATGACGTTCCCATCCTGGTAATGGGTCGGGCATGTCCTCCCAGAAGGCGGATTCTGGAAGGACAGACCACTGCCACGAACTGATCAAACAAAAGTCAGACGAGCACGAAACATCGTCATCAGACTACTTGAACTATTCTTGGATCTCCCCCCTTGAGAGGGACATGCCCGCCTTAAATGCCAGTGTAAGGACGTCCGCGCGGAACTCTTGGATCGGGAAAGGACCCCCGCCAATCCAAGAAATCCGTGCGGAGTTCCGAAAGTTTATGGCTAGGCCGCTGTCTTAACCAACCGCATGTGAACCTCATCCCTGCAGGTCATGTTGCTCCCATCGTACGTAAGGACCACATCCCAGAAATAAAAGTGTCGAAGCAGTGTCGAGCGAGTGTCAACTCCCAGGGCCCGACACGTGAAAGCCCTCAAGTTTCGGTACTTTCTTGGTGTTCCAAATTCTTTCTGCCGGTCAAGGCTCAAGTAGGCTGGACAATCATGAGGCTGGGGACAAGAGCTTGGAAGAGGTCTGCAGCTGGGTGAGCCCCAGCCGATGGGTGTCCGAGACTCCAGCGTCAACTGGATCGGCAGGGGCAGGGTCCGCAGGGGATCCCAGTGCTACCCACCAGACAAAGGGAAAACAAAACGGCATGAACATAAAGTGTTGGCGCTCCGCGCGGACTTTTTGGATCCGCGCTGGACCCGCCTCCCTGGCGCGCGGAGCGCGCCAGGGGCGGCGCCGGAGGCGCCACCGGGGAGGGCCCAGCGCGGATCCAAGAGACCCGCGCGGAGCGCCACAAGCTTATGCCTATGCCGCTTGTTTTTTCTTCAAAAGATCTCTTCGTGGATAACCAATCCGATCCGATCCTCCACAGACACGGCGTACGTGGGAATGGCCTGCAGCGCACAGCCCCGCACAGGCTGCCCCGTCCGCAGGTCGAAGGCCGCGTCGTGCCACGGGCAGACCACGTGCAGCCGGTCCTGCGCCGCCACGCCCTGCGCCAACGGCGCGCTGTGTGGAAGAGCAAGCCATCGGCATAGGCATGAACTTGAGCCCCGCGCGGGCTCATGGGTCGACACCGGGAGACTGTTTCTCACTATCTCCTCCGCGAGCGGCGAGCATGTCCGCATATCCACGCCTTCGCGGTCCGGATCCCGGGGCGTGATCCCGCGGATGCGCGGGGCTCCGCGCGGGGGCTTCGTGGAGCGTCGCTGGGACTCTATTCACCATGAGTTCCTGTGACGGCTGTCACCCGGGGGGGGGGGGGGGGCAAAGGTCCCCCGAACGGGAGTACAGCTAAACGGGGGCGGTTAGGATTGTCAGCATGTCCCCGCCTTACTAACTGTGCTCACGTGCGTGGCGCCCAGGGCCCACGGAGCAGGAGCAGATCCAAACGTGGACCTCGGCGTTCCCCGTGCCCCCGCTTGCCGTGATCCCGTCTGCGGCGCCCCGAGGGGGGGCGGCGGACGGGTTTGGGGGCCCCAGGCAACGGCAAACGCTCGAGCGGGGTGGGGGCACGTCGGGGCCGGGGGTGCGCTGCGGCCGCCACGGCACGGCATTCGCTCGAGCACCAGCATGTGAGCGACGATCAAAAGCGGGTCTTACTAGGATAAATCGTGGGGGGTAGGGGTAGGGTTCGCATGTGGCCCCCTACTTACGCGAGATGGCACAGCGACCTTAGGCCGCGGCTCAGGCGGGCCGCCCGCGCGGCACGGTGCATTGGAGACGACAGCGCTTACGCGCGAGCTTACGCGGGCAGCTTACGCGCGAATGCCAGCGAGGACGAACCCGTTTTTGTTGCGTCGTGCATGTAGCGGGGAGGAAGTAGGCCCCCCCGCTGCCGTTACCCATTGGGGGGGGGCCCAAGTCACGGCCCTTGCGCGCCAGAGGAGAAAAAATAACAACAATCTCTGCGTGCGCCCACGGGCGGGCACACGCCGACAGCCAGGAATGCCCAACCAGTTACATTGAGCGCCAACAACACCTCGATGCAAGCACTGTTGGAACACAAATGTCAGTCCTCCGCGCGGACCTATTGTACTCCGTCTCCTTGGCGCGCGGAGCGCGGCGGCAAGGGCGGCGCAGGAGGCGCCGCCAGGGAGATTTGCGCCGGACGTCTTGGGGGGATGCGGGGAAGTCTGCGGGGATTGGCGCCAGAGGTCTGCGCGGGGATTTCTTGGATCAGCGCTCGGACACCCCTGGTGACGCCTCCGGCGCCGCCCCTGGCGCGCTCCCCGCGCCAGGGAGGCGAGGAGGCCACTCCTGAGAGGTCTTCGTAAGAACGATTGAAACCTAAATCTTTCCGCGAAACTTAGCGCAAGTTTACCCGCGCTGCGCTGGCGCCCCCAGGCCCCAAATTTTCAATGTTGATGCCGAAACACGTGACTTCAAATGTCCCGACGGCGTCCGCGCACCGCACCGCACGCGCAACTGAACGTTGAAATTGGGGGCGAGGGGGGGTCGACAAAACTTGCTCGAAGTTAAGCGGAGGGTGGTATGACGGCACATTTGGGCGCCATTAAACCGAATTAGACCAAGCAAGAGGCCCATAATTAAGTGGGATCAGGCTGCGGTTTAGTTGGCCCCGGAAAAAGCAGGGCTGTTTTTCCACCGTTCCCCAATAAATGTCCCTTGCAAATGGAAATGGTAAAAAATGGCCGCCGGAAACGGCCGAAAAAACTGATCCAGGATTTGAACCGGAGCCAGAAACGGTAAAAAAATTGCTACAAACTGGTAACAAAAACGGCGCCGGAACCGGCAACAAAACACGGCAGAACGGCACCAATAACAAAAAACGGCCCTGTCGGTTCCAGGGCCCGCCAAGGGCTGGGGAGTAAGCCGCTCAGCGTGGACTGTTCATTAACTTTCGCGGAGGGTTGTATGACGGCCCACCTGGGCGCCATTGAGCCGACTTAGACCAGGCTGTAGGCCCACGATGAAGCGGGATCAGGCTGGGGAGTGAGCCGCGCAATCTGACTGTGCCAGACCGGGCCCGGCTTCGACCGCGGAGGATCTGCCAGCGCCGATGGCGGAGCTGTGCTCCCCAGGAGCTGCAGAGGCCAACGCGCAGGGGCCCCGCGCGCCGAGCCACGGAGTCCGCGCAGGCCTGCGAGCGTCGGCGTATACCCAGGTCGGGCAGGGCCCCCTGCAGGCGGATTTTGGAGGGGAAATTCAAAAACACAGATCCAAAAACGGTCCACAAAGAATCGAAACACCGTCCCCAGGCCATGGTTCGACTATTTTTGAACATGCCTCCTGTAGAGAGGGACATGCCCGACTGGATTCTAGACCCCCCAAGCCATGATGCTCTCATGACATCGACCCCCAAAAGGTCTCGACGCGGTACCTGCTTTCCCCCGCAGAATCCGACAACAACGAAAAAACTCCGATCGCTGGGTCTTGGATTGTTATGTTGCATCCGGAGGAACCGAGCGGGTCTGGGATTGTTATGTTGCATCTTCGGGGGAACTTGTCCGTCCTGGCGCGCCCCTATCCGCGTCGATCCGTGTCGAATTCATGTCGGACTCGTCGGATCCGTGTCGAAGCCGTGCGGACTCCGAGTCGAATCCACGCCAAATCCGCCTCAAGTCCGCATCGAGCCAGCGTAGGGTACAAGAGAAGACACCAACTTGGGGGACAGGCGAGGTCCCCCGAAGATGCAACAAAAGCCTGGGGACCGCAGTGTGGATAGCGTATCGCGCCGAAGTGTGGTTGGCCAAAACCGGCGCAGCGACACGCTATCCAGAACTCACGACCACATGCTCACATGCCGATCGTGCATGCTTATCAAGCGTGTTCCGGAAACCCTGAACCAACAAAAACCCTCGCCGTCTCTCGGGATGCCGAGTCTCACTTCCGCCATCCTCCGCCGGCCTTCCGCCGGCTTCCGCAATCCTTCCGCCGGGGAAGCGAGGCCACAACTCCTTCGAGCTTCGAAGGCGAGGCTCTTGTTGTGCAACGCCTCGCATGCCGATTCGACTACCTACACAGCCCGAAGACTCGCATTTCGGGTTTGGGGGGGTACGGGTTCCATATGTGTCTTGTCAATATGTTCCTGGACCCCCCCCTCTGGAAATGAAGGCAAACTGAGGCCTTCGGGCTGGGTTGGGGTGGCTTTTTGCAGCGCGCACAAGGGGGCATGGGGGAGGGGGGAAAGGCTTCTTCGAAGGAGACTGCTCCTCAGAAGGCGCCGGCCCCACATCTACAGACAGGGCCCGCGCCCACTGAGAAGCAGGGGTGCCCCCTCCTACCCCCCCCCTGCACGTGGCCGAGGCTTGGTGCGTGGTGGCCGATCGTCTGCTCTTCCGCTGTAGTGGCTGCACGAGGCGCCCGTGGCGTAGAACTGCCCCCCCACCCGCGCGAGCAGCAGCGCGCCCTCGCTGCAGAGGCCGTCGGCGGACGCGGGCACGAGCACCTGCCGCAGCTCGCCGTCCTCGAAGCCCGCCTGTCGGCCCCAGCACTCGCGGGGTGCAGCAGCGGCGACGACGACGACGCTGGCGACTGGCGACGACGACTGGCGGCGATGACGACGACGGCGACGGCGACGACGACGACGGCGGCGGCGACGACGACGACGACGACGGCGACGACGACGCCAGCGACGACGCCGCCGCCGTCGACGACGACGACGATGAGGACGCGGCTGGGGACGGCCACGACGACGACGACGACGACGAAGACCACGACGAGGTTGCTTTTGAGAAACATCCGCGCGGGGCCGAACACCGCGCCAGCCGGGCCGGCGTCGCAGTTTTTCCACAACGGGCGATTTTACCGTGCTTCGGGCCCCAGCGCCCTCACGTATGACAACGGCGCCCGTGCACCGCACCATGTTTGGACTCCCTTCAGGCCCCGCTCTAACGCGGCGCGTTCGAAAATTGCGCACCGTACAGTGGAGGCCAGTCCACAAGAAACCTTCCACAAGAAACCCAACCCTGAGACACCAGGACGTCCATCGACCCTTGGTCTGGGAACGTCGCGCTTTCCATCGCAAAACCATCGAAACCCAAGAAACCCGGGGCACCCTGGAGGCAAGCAGGGTGCTTCTTGGCATGGGCCTCCACTGTACCCAGACCCCGGACGTCGTGATGCTCACGACGTCGACCCCCAGCGGCCTCGACTCTCTCTCCCCGCAGCACCCTCCTGGGGCCCCCCTGGAGGCCGAAGTGAGCGAACTACCCTCCGGCCGTGCTGCTTTCACGACCCGCTGGGGGTCCGGGTCTCGACGGCGACGCTCCTGGGCCGAGGACCGGCGGCGCCTCGCGGGACGCCAGCGCGGCACGGCGCGGTGCTCACGAGTCGCCCGCGGGCGTCGGCCGCCGCGCTCGCGGGGTGCGGCCCCGGAGGACGGGAAGGGGGAGGGGGAGGGGGATGGGCCAGGACGGGGAGGGGGAGGAGGAGTGGGAGTAGGAAGATGAGGATGAGGAGGAGGAAAGGAGGAGGAGGAGAGGAGGAGGAGGAGGAGGAGGAGGAGGAGGAGAATGAGAGGAGGAGGGGATGAGGAGTAGGGAGGGGGGTAGAGGAGGAGGAGGAGGAGGAAAAGGAGGAAGAGGAGGAGGAAGAGGAGGAGGAGGAGGAGGAGGAGCCATCTACCGACAGCGCTGTTCGTCCTGGAGCCATCGTCGCAACGGCCGGATTCTGCTCAAGTCTGGCCAGGATGCACCCCAAGAGCCCAGGACAGGTCTTGGGAGCAGCGGCACGGGTATCTTGAGATCCGGGCGTCAAATTTACCACAACGGGCGACTCTCCCTTGTCTCGGGCCCTGGGACCCTCACGGGCGATCACGTCACGATTGGCGCTGGTCTGGTCGCATCTGATGGGTGGGAGCGGCTACGCTCTTCCGCCCGCCCAGAGGAAAGAAGGCAGAGGAGAAGGCTCTCCCCAGAGCATGGCTTCCCCCCCTTACCAGGCTGACCACCAAAACATCCCACCTCCCCCTCCACCCCCTCTGGCCCTTCCATTCACCCCTCCATCTTCTGCCTCCCACTCGATCTACGTCCCACCCTGCCAGCCTGACCCCTAAGCCCATGAAGGTCCACGTCCCCAAAGGTTTCCAGGGGCGCCCAGAGGCCACTCGAAGCCCCTGGAGGCCTAGGGATTGCCCAAACCGCCAAAAACGTCGAACATTGAT